GATTGGGTTGACAGATGATAAGACGATAAACTAAAATTTATTTTAAAAATCAGCTTTATCATATCTAAAAAATATCCTTAAGTGACCCACTTGAAGATGAAGTAGACCCCGTCCAGCTCCTGCCCCTGTCTGACCAGCCTGTCTCCGAAGCCCACCTTCTGTTTCTTGAGGCTGATCACCAGCTGATTCCTCTGGCGGGGCGTCCACGAGCTGGCGTAGGGTGGGGTAAAGACATGATAGAGGTCATTTAGTTCAGGGATAGTATGTGTAAGGGGTGGCATGATAGAGGTCAGTTAGTTCAGGGATAGTATGAGAAGCTTCTTGACATGATAGAGGTCATTTTGTGCAGGGACATTTTAAGAAGAATATTGTCATAGTAAGGGTTATTTAGTGCAGGGACAGTATGTGTAAAGAGTGGCACACTGATATAATAAGGATCATTCAGAGCTAGGACAGTATGACAAGCATATTGATATGATAGAAGTTATTTAGTGCAGGAACAGTATGTGTATAGAGTGGCACATTGTTATTGCAGGGGTGATTTAGTGAAAGGACAGTATGAAAAGCATATTGACATTACAGGGCATTTAGTGCAGGAGCAGTATGTGTAAAGAGTGGCACAATATTGTCATGATAGGTGTCACTTTGTGTAAAAAGTGGCTCATTGTCATGATAACGGCCATTTAGTGCAAAGACAGTATGAGTAAAAAGTGGCATATTGTCATAATAAGGGCCATTTAGTGCAAGGACAGTATGAAAAGCATTATTGACATGATAGGGGTCATTTAGTGCAAAGACAGTATGAGGAGCGCCTTGACATGATAGAGGTATTTTACCTGAACAAAGGATTCCTCTCCACAAACTGCGTTTTGTCCTGGAACTCTCTCTCTATAAAATCCTTCACAGAGACACTGGGGACACAGGAATGCATATCGTATGACTGTATTCAGCATATAGCAGAGAAAATGAAAAAAAAATGGAACGTGTGTGCCTTAGCTCACAATGAAGAAGGCACCTATTTTGCTTCTGAAAGATTATGAGACAGGTCATATCTGCACACCAGCTTCAATTTCGATCCTCCCCCAACCCGATCGTTATCTTCTCCACTTCCCATTACCATTTCCTCCACCTCAATCAGATCACTCTCTGTCCTTCACATCCCCACTTCCTAGTTGCCCCACCCTTCCCCATTTGCACCAGCCTGTCCCCATCTACCCCACCCCATCTCTGTCTCTCCACCCCCCACCCCCCGACATACACCGGCCCTATCTCTCCATCTCCCCTACCTCACCCACAGCTCTCAGCACGTCTGCTCGTTCCTCACCTGTCATACCATTTGTTTACTTATGCTCTTTGATAAAATCAATAATAATGATGCTGATGATGATATTAATGATAATAATAATAATAATAATAATAATAATAATAATAATAATAATAATAATGATGACGGTGGTGATGATAATGATGATAATAATGATAATAATAATAATGATAATAATAATAATAATAATAATAATAATAACAATGATGATAATAATAATAATAATAATAATAATAATAATAATAATAATAATAGAAATAATAATTAAAAAAAATATTAATGCATGTAATAATACTAATAAAATGTCAACGATAAAAACCCTGCAAAAATCAGGGGCTGGAGAAGATATCCGGAAGAAATGTTCAATCGGTCACGATCTTCCACTTGACCTCTCCCTGTCCGTGAACGACGCAAAGGTCAATGAGTTCAAAGCTTCTATAGAGATCGCCGTGAAAACCTTTTCCCATACTGTTCAATCTAGACAACAAAAGCATTGAACACCGGCTTTTTCAGACTTGTTTGTTCGTACATTGCATTTAAACGTTCCCCACAGTAGAAAATGCAATATAAGGCGGCACTCCCACATTTTTTGTTAAGCGGGAGGGGGGAGCTGTGGGATTTCAAGTACAAGCAAATTTAGAATGTATATGTCAGATCGTTTTTGGTTAATATGAAGGATTTAGTGGCGGCCATTTTCAATCAGCAAGGAGGTGCTCATGACAGAAATTTTTTTTTTCAATGTTTATAATAATTTGTCTTTTTTTAAGGTAAAGAGAATTTCATATTTGTCTTTAGATCAGTGGTTGTCGACATTTTCTTACAGCCACCTTTGCCACTTTGAAGACTTAAACCCTATCCGTACGTCGTGTTTTACTATCGTATCCAATCGACATTGGGAACTCTGTGCCACCACTTTCCAAAAAGGAAATTTACTCGTTAATACGATCCGAACGCTTTGCATAGCAGTCTTTGAAAATGATTTTTTGAGAAATACTGAAAGGATGGGTAGGAAAATGTTTATCGCTATTTCTTTTAATGCTGGTATTTTTAGCCTCTCTAAATACAGTTTAGATCATCTAGGAGGCGGGCTTCATTTCTGCTTTTCGAGACTAACCCTGGCGGAGGGGGATACAAAGTCCCAATAAAAAACCCAAAGTACTCGAATAACATTCTCCATACACGAGAACCGAACTAAGGCCTTGTGCATGCGACGTTGAAGCGCCTCGCCGTTGCACCACATACATTGGTACAGGACGAGGTCTCTGAAGCTAAATTAACGTTCTACCAGGAACCATAACAACTCTGCCGTAAGCTGACAAAACGCATTAAAAAAAATTCAAAACAGTTTCGAGAAAAATGGGTTTTTGTTTTGTCAGCGTAACCATTGAAAAATAGTGTCTTTCTGAAATTTGAATTCTAATATATTAAAAAACTACTTACAGTTTCAATTAGATTTTTTCCATACAAAAATGGTAACTGATCAGACTTTGATTTAGCGAATAAAAAAAAAAAATTGGCGCCAAAATGAAAAAAAGACGTTTTGTCAGCTTACGGCAGAACTCAGGCAGACAGAAGAGCAAACAAATGGCAGAGAGTTTTATAACGGAAAGGTCTGAGCGGAAACGTCCATCTACTGGAACAGCTTTGAAAAAGTCTTTCACAGACAGGAGAAAGGGGCTAAAACAGCACCTAGACATGGATAGTTGGTGCCTCGATGAGTAAATTATTGATTGTCAGTTCAGGTAATGAAATCTTCAGCTGTGAACAGCTCGCGCCATTAGCTCATTAGTATCCTGCTGGACTACAGAGTGGAAAACCTTGGTTCAAATCCCCAACAGGGAGCTTTTAATGCTCTCAACCTGTTTAGTTCGGTCCTAACAGAGAGGTACAGACTTGCAAGAATCACCCTCCTGGGCACTGTACAAGGAGGGAGAAGGAAAGGCCGACAGAAAAAAGGATGGAAGGAGGAAAGTGGTTTCCTGGTTATCCTTAGTGCCCCAACGGCTGTCTAAGTAAGTAAGTAAGTAAGTAAGTAGGTAAGTAAGTAAGTAAGTAAGTAAGTAAGCAAGCAAGCAAGCAAGCAAG